GTGGTACCTGCCCTGCAGAACCACTGGCCCCGGACAGCTCCGCGAGCCGTGGGCCGGGGCAGGGCGGGGCGGGAGTCTCCGGGGCTGGGGCGGCCTCACGTCGGCCTTACTTGGCCTCGCCTTCCCTCGTAGCTGAAGGAGTCCAAGCGGGCTGTGAACAGTCTCCGCGACATCGTCGACGATGACGATGACCTCGAGCGGGTCAGCTGGAGTGGGGAGCCTGTGGGCAGTAAGTGTGGCGCGGGAAGGTGGGCGGTTCAGTTTGGGCGGTGGGCACAGGCGCAGCCAGCCTAGCTCCAGCTCTGCCACTGGTACTTCTGCTCTGAAGTCGGGTCTCGCCCCTGGGTTGAATCTTGCCGCTTCCTGATCTGCCCTTCACACCTGCAGGCTGGTGGCTGTATCCGCTTGGCCCGTTAGGAGGGGGGTGAGATGAAATTGTAGGTGCATGAATAAAAGGAGGGTGGGAGCAGACACGTGGCCTGTCCCCTGGCATCTCTGCCCATAGCGCAGAGGCTTGACGTGTTACATCTGAGATTTGTTATGCTCAAAGGAAGGCACCTGCAGAATTAGGGGTGATGAGTTATTTCCACTCTGCCACCTAAACTGTTTCTCCTCTGATCCATTGCGCCCAGTTCCTGAGCTGTAGGCAGCTGAATTAAACTATTTTAGCAGAATTGGAGACCAAATAGGAGCAGGTTCATCACCTTTTCACCATGACTATGCTGAAAACGTACAAGCCAGATGGCACGGAGCTCAAGCCCACCACAGCGCTGTGTGTACGCTGCTGTTTTAGCCGGTAGCTTCAGCCTTCAGAGCAACCGTGTCTGTGCAGTGCCATAGGCAGGCCTGTTGGCTTTGCCCTTCAGTGCTGCCCACATTCCTTTGGGGACCATGACCATTGGAGGCTGCTGCTGTAGCTGTTCAGTCACCAGCCAACCTGTGAATGTAGCTGGACTCCCCAGAAAGTGTGTGTTGCACAGAGCCACAGATACCTCTTAGGAAGAGGCTTACGATGCAGCTGCATCCTGGTGCTGGACCAAGCAAACCTTCACCCCCACATTTAATCAGTGAGAGGTCAGAGGGCGGCATCACTCCTATCGTGCTATAAAACTTTCTTTTCAGAGTCCGCTCTTTTCATCTTCTGAATTTGATTCTCCTGCTCATGTTTCCCCTTCCCTGCTGGCCTCTTCATACCCCTTTCCTCTGGCTAACTGTGTTTCTGCTTTCCCACATTCAAAAATTTACAAGTGGTCAAAGTGGTAGTGGCATGACTATGGAGACAGACAGACAGATACACATGCTGCCTGCTGTGCTGAAATGGAGAAGGAAGAGCATGTTTTAATTATTACCACATCCTAGTTTGACAGCAAAGCCCATTCTCGCCGGGCAGCATATCGGTCTCAAGTGTGGCAGTACCTAGATGGGAATGCCTTGCTCCTTTCCAGCCCAAGGAAACCTGTATCTTGCATTGTAAGCTCTTGGAGCAGGGAATATGCTGTGCCCCTACAGTCTCTTTGAATGTTCAGGAGTATATTAATGAACTGTTGTAACTAGGGGTGCTCCAATAGAGATTTTTTAGGTCTATATCGATAGCCAACTTTTAAAGAGGCACATCAGCTAATGCCAATCCAATTTCCAATACAGCTGCATCCAGCTAGTAAGTCTGTTGTGGTAGAAGGTGAGGGGGGAGGGAAGGGGCATGGGGGGACAGTTCAACGACCCCCATGGTGAGGGAGGGAGTGGGGCTAGGGCAGGGGTAGGTGCTGCCCAGCTGGGGCGGGGTGTGGGACGAAGCCACTGCTTGTCCAGGGGGCATGGGGAGGGGGAGCATCTCCTGCCAGGGGATGGGGCATGTGTCCCCAGATCTGTGCAGGGCAGGACAGGGCAGGCTGGGCTGCAACTGTGGGCTGGGACCAGGGCCAGGGGCTGTGCCTGACTCTTCCTGGTTGTGGGGAGTGGGGTTAGGCCTCGCTACGCTTGGGGCAGGCAGTGCTCGGAGGTGGGGCTATGGGGAGCTACAGTGAAATTTGGGGTGGCTGCAGCCCCCCCTCCCATAGCCGCTTTCCCAGCACCGCTGCTGTTGCCCAGCCTAAGTACAGCACAGCACAGCCCCTGGCCCCAGCCTGCAGCTTCAGCCCTCCCTGCCCCATCCCACCCAGTGCAGATCTGGGGGCACATGTCCCTCTCCCCCCCTGTGTCTTCCTGGGGTGCATGTAGCAGCAGGAGCCATTCCCCCTTCCCGCGCTCCTCAGACAAGCCACAGCTCTGTCCTGCATCCTGCCCCACGCCAGCTGGGCAGCGCCTACCCCAGCCCTACTCCCTCCCACACTGCAGAGGGGGGATGTTGAACTGCCCCCCCCCACACCTCTTCCCTCCTGGCTCCCCTTCCATCTACAAGCTGCCAAGCTGTGCTCCTCCTCCTATGCACATGTACAGTGTATTTATTAGCCAAATTATTGGCCACTTCAGGCAGATTTCTAATATAGTCAGTTTGCTTTATATTGGTGCCGATCCGATATCAAGTTGATGCATCAGTGTACCTCTGATTGTAACATTCATTTAAGCTAGATATGCATGCACAATGCACTGTGCTGCTATCTTTCCAGAGATGAATGTGGGCAGCTTTTTAAACATCTTCCCATCAACTGGGGCCTCTTGAGCATAAATTGACAACGTTTTATAGAGGCAGGACATTGGCTGCAGTGGTTCCCCTGCTTTACCTGTAGCAGGTTAGGGTATTAAATGTATGCTGTGTCAGTGTTAAGGATAGTCTTGTGTAGAGTTTAGATTATGGTTGTATGGGATAGTTTGGCTGTGGATGATCCTGGCTCAGTCAGGGGGTTGGACTAGATGACCCCTGAGGTCCCTTTCAGGCCTACTTCTCCATGACTCTATATGATTCGTAGACGTAGGGTCGGAAGGGACCTAAGTAGATCATCAAATCTGACCCCCTGCCCTAAGCAGGAGAAAATACTGGGCTCATATGACCCCAGCTAAGTAATTGTCAAGCCTCCTCTTAAAGACGCCCAAGGTAGGAGCCAGCACCACTTCCCTTGGAAGTTGGTTCCAGATCCTAGCTGCCCTGGCTGTGAAATAGTGTCGTCTAATGTCCAGCCTGAACCTACTCCCAAACAACTTATAGCCGTTATTCTTTGTTACTCCGGGAGGTGTACGGGTGAACAGGGTCTCTCCCATTCCCCACTGGTCCCCCTTGATAAGTTTGTAGATGGCCACCAGGTCCCCTCTCAGCCTTTTCTTGTGAAGGCTGAACAGGTTCATGCCCCGTAGCCTCTCCTCATAGGGTCTGCCCTGCTGTCCCTGGATCATGCGAGTGGCCTTCCTCTGGACCCTCTCGATGCTGGCCACATCTCTCCTAAAGACTGGCACCCGGAACTGGATGCAGTACTCCAACTGTGGCCTGACCAGTGTCGCATAGAGGGGGAGGATCACCTCCTTGGCTCTGCTTGTGATGCATCTGTGGATGCATGACAAGGTGCAGTTGGCCTTACTGACCGCGTCCCCACACTGCCGGCACATGTTCATTTTGGAATCGATAATGACTCCAAGATCTCTTTCTGCCACTGTGCTTTCGAGAAGGGAATTCCCCAGCCTGTAGGTATGCTGCTGGTTCTTACTGCCCAAGTGCAGTACCCTGCACTCATTAGTATCGAATCCCATCTTATTCTCATTTGCCCACCATTGTAACCTGTCCAGGTCCAGCTGTATCCTGCCCCTCCCTTCTAGTGTACCCACCTCATCCCAGATCTTGGTGTCGTCAGCAAATTTGAACAGGGTGCCTTTCACCCCCTCGTCCAAGTCGCTAATAAAGAGATTAAACAGTGCCGGCCCAAGGACCAAGCCCTGGGGGATCCCACTGCCCACATCCCTCCAGGTCAAATATGACCCATCCACCACCACTCTCTGGGTGTGGTCCCTCAGCCAGTTTCCAACCCATATGACTATGTAGGCATCAGTGCCACAGTTGCCTAGCT